AAAAAAAAAAAAAAAAAAAAAAAAAAAAAAAAAAAAAAAAAAAAACCACTAGGCATGTTGCTCAGCGTAAAAGTGCTAGCTTCAATTCCCAGTACTGGAATAATAATAATACTGGGCCCGTCCATTGAAAATCAGATGAGAACAGTATTATGAGACACAGGTCCTTCCCTGTGCCCCAAATTCCAAAGAACATAGATAGACCTCTCTCTTCTGTCTTAGCTGCATTTATTTTCCTGGTTTCCTGCTGTCTGTGGGAAGTGTGAAGTGATTTTTGCAGTAACACAGTATCTCCCCATTTTATATATGGCACAGAAGACAGACACAAAGCGGCACCTGGGGAAAGGGTACAGTCTGACAAGTGTGACTGCTATATCCCGAAACATCACCACGATGAAATAGTCAACATATCCGTCACCCCTAAAAGCTTCCTTGTATCCCTTTCAGTCTTCCCCCTCTACCCACAGCCGCACCCTTTTCTCCTGGCCCTCCTCGTTCCCAGGCTCCCACAGATCTGATGCCACCGGAGCGTTGATAAAAATGGAACAGTGTAGAATGCACTCTGGTCTGGCTTCTTTCCCTCAGCATAATTACTTAAGACTCAGTCATGCTATTACATGTAGCAACAGCTTAATACCTTGTATTCTTGAGTAGATCTTACTAGGTCTTTCTGTTGGGTGGGGAGGAGCAGCTGCAGCTCTTGCAGGTCATCAGGGAAATGTCCCCAAGTTGCCTAAGCAGTCCACACTCGTCTGTGTGAAGCTCACATGTGCAGATGATTGCATATCTAAGAAGACAGGGTATCTGTATACCTGTGTAAGAAGAAGGTATATGTATACCTGTGTGCTTACCCTTGTTTGGGAACTACAATTCCCCACTGATATTTTTATAAAAAGCACAGAAGACAATCCTCTGACAAGCAAAATGTGTGAAGCCTTGGGACATAAAATTGGAGCCAGGGAGACTTGAGACAAAAATTACCTGTGTCCTTTAACTTTACTAGGTAAGTATGCATTTTATGCAAATAGTTTAGAACAATAAATCTTGTGTACCTAGCTTTTTTATTCTTAGCAAAAACAGCAACAGAGTTGGGGCTAACATACCAATTTTATCTTATATGATTAAATATTACCCAAGTATTTGGAACACACTAGGTAAAGTCTACACAAGTTAAAGCTTTTTTTTTTTTTCTTTTTGCGGAACTGGGGATTGAACATAGGCCTTATTCTACTGAGCTACCTCCCCAGTCCCCTGAATGAAACATTTAAAAACATTCTTTTAGTCCAGCTACAGAGCTTAGTCTATATAGTTTTATACCTCTGAGCTTTATGTTTATTGTTTAACATTGATCATTGTCCATTAACCCTCACCAGGGTCAATCAATATGACCCTGCAAAGATGGTCAAATCCATGCACCATTCATTCCCTCTATTCAACTATTTTCTTAAATTATCAGCTTTTCCTCCTTTATATAAACATATAAGAACTCAAATTTTCTGAACCTAATTTTGAGAAGCCTAATATGGCTCTACTTTAAACATAAACAGTAATTCTTTGAAAGTAAAATATAGTAGCAAAAGTGTAATTTTAGAAAAAATATCATATTCTCTTATATATTTTAACAACTTTAATTTTAGTTACATTGACAAATGAACAGTACTTTTTTTAAATCACTGGTATTAGAACTATTTATTGGTCATGTTGATATTAACCCAAAAATATACTTTTTGCTTGCTTTTTGCCCCATGACCTCAAAATCACTACACTATTATATCTTGTTAAAAACTCATTTTGACATGCTATGAATAATAAAAAGATGACATTAAATAACTGGCTCAAAATTATGACATATTTTGCATGTCAAGCAACAGAGCTCAGCAAAAACATGCACTAAAAACTATGCATATTGTATTATTAACTGGAGGAAATTTTTCATAACCAGGCTCAAGTAATATGGATCCATATTCATTAAAGTAACCTCTTACTGGGGTTATAGAAGGAATTTAAACTTGTGTATCATATATCTAATGGAATCTAATGTCAAGGTATTGTTCTTTTTCTTTTTTGGGGAGGGAGAATAACTTGCTTCAAACACATTTACATATAAAGTTCAGAGTTTTTTAAAATGGCTTTGGAACTCTGTGAGGTTACAGCAACTGCTGAAAACTGTGTAAACACCTCAGTTTTTAGCCTCAAGCACAGAAGAAGAAAGTCTACTTTAGAATAAATCAAATCTGAGTGGAAATCTCATCTCTCTGTCTCTCTGTGCAAAGCTCCTGTTTGATCCGGGGCCCCAGCTGCCTCATCTCTAGTGTGTGCAGTAAGAGCTTCCTCTCCAGGTGGTATGAGAAAAAGCCCTCTGGGTTTCCCTGGGCACTGACTGCTTTCTCTTCTGAATGGGAATACTGAGTTGGTCTTAGGATGAAAGGTGCCTGAAGTCCAGAAGCAACTCCTCAAGGGTGACCCCCAATGATAAGTGGAAATTCCTTTCTACATGGTGACCTGACCACAAATACAAGTCATGCAGTGAGAGCTCCAATTCTTTCTCAACTCCAGCAGATTCTACATGCTGTTATCTGACCCTGAGACGAGGGCCAAGGGAAAGGGTTGCACCTCACCACTCCACCACAGTTCCCAATCTGTGCACCGTGGGAAGTCCAAGTGGAAAGAGCAGCCACTTGCACCACTCTTTGCCTCCTGTACCATTCCGCAGTGCCTCAGTGCACAGCTGTCAATTTCCTAATTTAAGGTCATTAAGGAGATTTTTTCCATGTTTCTCAAAGCCCTCATATTAAAGGTGGGACTTTGTAACCACAACCACATTCCACAGA